TGCGTTATCATTTAGCAAACTGTCATATTAGCTGTCCAGATCCCACACATTTTGTGTCAAGCAGAGTCTCAGCCTTGCCAGATGGGTTGCATGTCGGTCCCTTCTGAGCTCTGCTAACTGGTGATGTTGCCTTTGGAATGACATATTTGGAGGATTAGAGAAAAGACCAGTCATTTTATTTACATTTGCTGTGATTATACTTCTTCAGCCAGTCTAGGGTCTGTGTGGTAATGCTCCTATTCAGATTAATTCGTATTTGGTTTATGAGTGAAGTTTCACGTGACACAGCATCAAACTGATTTACTGATTTCCAAAGGAAAAACGCCTTCTGCTCTTCACCAATTTGTTCTCTAATGTAATCAATAAAAGCAATCAGTTTTTTTTTCACAGAAGTTAACATGGGACTAATCATTATTGACAAGATTAGGTCAGGTTCAAATTTTGCTTTGCCTGACATTGGTAGTGTAAGAGATTATTTTATAAACAAATTGTGCCCCTGGCAGAGGAGCTGAACCTCAGGAGTGAGGAGAGTATAATGTTATAAAAAATGCTACGTAGGAAGTGAAGGACCAAACAATTCTCCATCGGCAAATCTTTAGCAAAAGTCTTTATCTTGTCTGAAGCTGTGATTTCCAGTCACAGGTAGCAGTCACCAAGTCTCTTATGGGGTGCTGGCTTTGTCATGCTCTGGAGAATGTGAAGGCAGAGGCACCAGCAAGTGACTCTATAGTAATGACTGTGTGTTTTACTGTTCGGGCTGAAAGTTTAACTATGATGGACAGAATGAAGATTTTTTTTAAATGGCATTTGCTGTACATGCAGGTTAATGCAATGTAAGTGTAATTACAAACAGCCCATGGGATTACAGCCCAGAGAACAGTTCAACATACCTGTGCCGTATCACTGCAGAAAGGCAGAAGTGAGTGTTGTAAAACCTTAGAGATACCATAACAGAGTACGAAAAGCTCCTACTATTCTAAAGTTTGTCTTCTAACTAAATGGCATGTTCCTGCTTCATTTTTTATGTTGCAGTAGTAAAAATGCTTTTGCAACAGTAATGAGAAGGCTACATCAGCAGTTCTCTTGGTCTTGGGTCCATTATGTCATGTTAGCAACTGTATCATACTATTCTCTGTTGCTCATGCAGTTCTAATCCTGCTTAATTCATCGGCAGCACTTGATTTTGCTGACCAAAAATGCTTGTTCACAGCCTTGAGCAACCTTCACTTCTTTTATGTTTGGAATTGTGTTACCTTCCCCTGCTCCCCCCCGTTCCATTCTTATTTATTTATCTCTTGTTATGACAAATCTGAGGGGGAGCTGTGTGCCCTGAGTTTTGCTTGGGGGTCTGCTCTGGGTGGGTGGAGAGATTAATCTGTAATCATGTCTCAACTTTCACTACATAGAGGAGAAGCATTTGTTTGTCTTTTTTAGTTACCTATTTCTTTCTCTGAATTTTAGTGCGAACTCTATAGGAAAAAAAAAAAAACCAAACCAAAGCAAAACGTGTGCAAAACTGTCAGCACAGTTGGTAGTGGCAAAGAAAGTGCCTACAAATCTCAGATGATGGGTAGTAATGGTTAACTGTCTGTGTTTATATAGTGCACATACAGGCTTTTTCATCTGCTTACTAGTAAGATGAATGTAGTTTGTGTAGTTGCTCACATTAAAATGTATTTTAGGGGAGTACCTGTAATTTATGGGAGTATATTTTTGGGATACCTGTACACCTGTTACACCATTTTAAAATGAGCTTGTTAGTGATGGTAATATACCTTGGGATGATCAGGTTAATTTTTTAATATGACTATTATTGATGACTATTAATATCTGACTTGGATATAATAAATGTATAATGAGCTAAATTTCCCTAATTAGATTACAGAAACTTAGGGGAGTAGTCTATGGTAGCTTCATGCAGCTGCATTGCTTTCTTGTTAACATTTTTAAACCATGGGCTTGTATTAAAGTCCGGGGAAACAGAGAAGTCTCTGAGCTAAACAGACCTCATTTTGCACAGCACCTGCCTTAAAGATCCTGCCCAAATGACAGTAAAGATGCAGCTTTGTCAACTAAAGTTTTTGCCTTTAATAGTATAAAAAAATGCTAAGGAGCAATAAGATTTTAGTGTTCTGTTGAAACATACATGTTCTGTTGTGTACTTGAGCGGAAGTAAGACCTAGCAGTAAAGTGCCATGCACAAGGTTAATTTTGTTGTGTGGCGTCAGGTTGTGAAGTCAGAGACTTCAGCTGCACTGAGAGAGTCATACCTGCTGGTTAACAATCCAAATGATTGGAAAATGTATTTTGCTAACTCCCATATTAAGCTTGAAAAATGTCTTCTTCCCCGCCTCCCTCCATATGCAAACATGTTGCTGGGTATTGGAGAGCATTTTGGGAACAACCATTTGCCTCTCTGAAGATCTTTTTCATGGAGGTCAGTGGTGCTACTCGCAGTAGAAAGCTGAATGCCTGGTAGCAAAATTCCTGTTTATAACTCAGGAATGTAAATTATACAATGTGCTGTAGGAGGTCAGAGGAGCTTTCTGCTTTCTGTTTTAGCATGAGTTATTTACTCTCTCATACATCTACTAATGGCTAATTTGCATAGAGAAGGTGTTCTCCAACATGAGCATTTTCAGTACTTAAAGCACAGGTACTATGTATATGTAGATAGTTAAGATACTGATGTATTATTGGGTGAGATAATTTAAGTAATGTATAATAAGAAAAGTGAATGTCTGAACAGGGTATCTCAGTGCAAACTGTAGACAGCAAGAGTTAAATGAGTCATCTACATTTTTTATTGCTAATATAAACACTTTAGCAATGCTAATCAGTTGTACTGATTTTCTGTTTTGATTTTCCTTAATAATTAAGCAAAAGATCTGGAATGCAATCAAGTTTTACACTAGGGGGTTTATGCAAATGATTTTTTTTGTTTTGTTTTTAATTTTAAATTTTGTTAAATGTATCCAAAAGGAAAGTTACTGAAGTGGAGCATAAAAGAAAAAAGGAAATAAAGTTTACAGTCTGCAAAATCGCAGTGACTATTTTCAATGAAGGAAATCACAACTTTGTTGAAATTATTAGCTGAAAATACAGCTGCTTTTACTGCTTTTTAAACAACTGCACATTGACTACTTTGCTATGCAATGTGCATGCAGAGAAACAGTTACAGACCATGAAATATCTTTCAGCAGTCCTGATTTTTCAAGAGGGATTTAGCAAAATGGGATCATCTCTGTATCCTCAGATAGTTTAAATATAATAGTTTCTTTTTGTGAGCTTTTTTTATGTTGACTTCTGAAGAAGGTATTGTAAAGTAAGACTATTTCATTTCTTTTTTTTTTTTATGGCACAAAGTGGACTTTTTTCTCTTAAAATAAAGTTATTGGTGTGGTTTGCTTTATTTTGTTCCATAACATTTAAAATAAGAGATTTCTGTTTCTGAATAATTTACTTTGTTAAAAGTATTTGTATTATTTCAAAACAAACATATTTATCAGTAATTATTTTCTTATTATACTACAGATTAGACTCAATGATTTTTTTTTTTTTTGTGGTGATCTCTGTAGCCATATAGTGTTAAATTTTGTGTGAAAATGAGGATATAAGGTCAAATGTTGACTGAAAGGGAAATATAGTAGCTTAAATCATTACAAGTTACCTATTACCAGCATTCATTCTGGCATTTGTGGATTAATGGCAGGTTGGATTAAGTGTTTTGGTATGAAAATTAAGATCATTTGCTTGAAAACAAAGAAAGACTAGTCAAAGTGTTAGGATAATCTTTTAGATTTTTATGTTATTACAATAACTTTTTCTAAGAGCAGAATGTTTATTCTATTTGGGAATTGTACAGCTGGCAGAGGAGGGGGTATTTTTGCAAACTATATTGGGAATTTAACTTTAAAGAGCACTAACAATGCAGGATAACATATGAGGCTGTCTGTTAACAATGTAAAACAAAGTCATTTAAACCCTCCCCCTGATTAATTAATTTGTTTTGCATGAGAATTATAGGTTAGTTAGTAAAAGCACCATGCCATTTTTTTGCAAGTCCTGAGCTTGAATTGCACCTTCCAGTAGTGTTGTTTGAAGAAGAACTGATGTCTTGAAGAACTGATAAGGACTATTCATGCACATATATAATTTCGCTTTTATATTTGCATTAAAAAATAAACACCACCACCCCCTGAGTCCTGCAGAACATCTTTATATTGCTTTTTGTTCCTCTGACTTGCATCTCTCCACATGATGCTGTTGCCTGGGCCCTGTAGGAAGGCAGTTTACGGAGGTGCCCAGGTCGAGGCAGCGCCTGGGTGTTAGGGTGCAGCCTTTCCCAAGCAGACGCTGGGCATCGCCCCCCTTGCTGGCCTGGGCCCTGGGTCCTCAGGCATCCTTTGGGAGGCCACGTAATGAAGTCAGTGTGTAATTTGGGGGAGGAGTGTTTTACAAAAGGTGCTGCTTGAGGTGGGGCAGCATCTGGGGTTTTTAAAAGAGGTCAGGGTAGGCTGCAGGAATTGGGGGTGCTCTTGGTAATGAATGGGGTAGCACAAACCCTTCCTGTGAGTAAAAGTGATGTGCAGGATTTCTGACGGTGTGTCATCAGCCGAACCTTTCTACTCTTGCGGTCTTGAGCAAATGCCAGCCTTTCTTTTAAATTGCAGCTCTGTTGTTTGCTGTGGACAAACCATCACTAAAGAGACTGAGCCTGGCTGCCTGCAATTTGATGGAACAGTGGGACCTCTAAAATGTAGTTTGTTCAGCAACTGATGCCCTGCCACTCATGTGAAACTACTCCATTTGGGTTATTCTTCCAAAATGGGTGTGATATTGCTGCTGCTAGGCAAGCAGTGTGTGTTTCTTGAAGTACCTGTTGCTTTATATTATATATATTGATTGTATATGGGTCAATAGTTTTAGCTCCTTTGTCCTTTCTGTAATACTGTTAATGTATTGTAAATATTTTTTCTCACAGCCGCCTTTTTGGAAAGATGGCTCTTCATTTGAACTCATTTTTTGGCTTCCCTGTCATACTCTTGTACCATTGGATGGGGACAACTTTATCTTTGAATCTGGAAGATCCCAATGTGTGTAGCCACTGGGAAAGGTAATATTTTCTTCTGGAAAATACATGACATGAATTCCAATTGTAATAATTTTGTTTTGTTTTACTTGGCACATTTAAAATTATTTAAAGATTTTAGTTGAGTCGTGAACTGGGAAAATATTTTGCATTACTGCGTGGCCAAGGTAAGTTGGATAAGTAAAAGGCTATTTCACACTGGGCTGAAATGCAGTCATCTTTGCAGTAGGGGTTAGGATGCAAAAAACAGTACTGTGGCACCAGCAATATTACACAACCATCTGGGTACAAGAAGTGAATAAAAATAGCTTTTTTTCAATTTAAGTGAAAAGAAGCTTTTACCTAAGCAAAATACAATTAACCATATTGGAGTCTGGCCAAACTTTATTATGCTGATTCTTTCCTATTCAACATTCACAGAAACTGAAAAAAGATTTGTTGTTAATTTTTTCTATGAGGTTCAGAAATTTATAAGATACAGAAAGAAATTAATCAATTTAGTTGGTTTGTTTGTTCACCCAGTTTCACGTTAATTACAAGGAGAATGCCACAATGGGTAGGAGAGGTTGAGCCACAAGCATTTGCTGTACTTTTCCTGTATAAAGGTTACAGTAGTGAAACCAAGCCTTATGGTATTATTATTATTATTATGATGCCCATGGGTGATCAGGTAGTCCCTGAGACAGTCTAACTGTTCACTTGAGGACATCAGTATTTCCTGCATTTAAGGTAAACTGCATTTTATGTTTAATCACTGGGACTGCTGCTAAGCCACTGTACACTTATTTGCAATTGTAATGGCTGAATCTTTAAGAGAAAATTGAAACTTTTATTCACTTTTTTATAAAGTCTCTCTCTCTCAAAAAAAAATCATCACCTAAGGACCTTCCCCAGGAATTTATCTGAGCTTCATGTGAAGCATTTGGAGTCTCTGCCCCTACCATTGTGTACAATTTGGCTTATACAACAATGTGTATATGAAGTAGTTACCATACTAAGTACCTATTTACAGTATTCAGGCACGTGTTTATGATGTTACTGGATAATGCCCTATACTGTGTATGCTTTGTTTACTGTTTTTATAGATAAAAGTAGTTTTGGGGGAAGCTATAATGTAGCAAAAGCAAAATGGGGGAAAAACCCCAAATATAACTATTTACATTGCATAAGGTATTTTAAAACAAACTAATCAAAGGTTGCAGAAAGAAAAATATATCTAGCAAGCATGCCCATTCTGTTGCATGAACTTTTTTCCTTCTTCTGCTGAGTCTCAGAAATGGGGAGCAACTCCAAGTAAACTTAACGAAACATTCACACTGTTGCTCAGAGCCAGGCAACAAAGGTACATTAAGTGTGAATGAGTAAAACCCTAGATACAAGCTCTTTACTGCTGCTGTCACTAGCAGTGCTATATGCTTTAATTAAATCTACCCAGCCAGTAATAAAATGGTCTTTACAAATGAACCCTGATCACAGCAAGAAGGCGTAGAGCATGCCCTGCCTCAAACAAAGAGCACAGAGCCTCAGGCAAGCATCGGCACCCCACCAGCATTTTTGTTGGACTAGGTCAGAGAGCTGGATGGATGAAGGTTGCTTGTCTTCATATGGACATAGGAAAAACAGGGAGTAAGTTCTGGGCAGTTAGAATAAGTGGGTCTGGATGTGTTTTCCCTCAGCGTAGGTGACGACAGTAGGAAGAGGAGATTGTGACTGTTACCCTGCAATAGGTGCTGAGAGGTCAAAGGGGATGTGAGTGAAAGTGAGTGAAAGCTGGACGGGCTACGTACTTAGTATTTTGGCTGGTCCTGGGAATTAGTCCTACTGCAAGAACTTGCCATGCATTCTCATATTTTCTAACCCCCTTGCGCAATCAACGACTGACTGACTGCCAGCACAAACAGCCTGCTGAAGAGTTTTCTAGGATGGTTCAATATCTTTCCCTTCTGCAACAGGGCTCTGTTACTCTTGCCCCACTGACAGCTCTGGAGGCTCTGGACTTCAGAGCGTAGATTTATTTCTAGGATACTGTGCTTATAATTTGGCAGAAAATAATTATAGGACTTCAGCACAGTATTTCTGAAAAAAAAAAAAAAAAAGGTTCTCTGTTAAAAATTAGCCAGTAAACAAAACAGGTTATGGACTTTAATATTTTATAATTTTTTATGGCTGAATAAACTGTTTGATGGCATAACTGTTATATAATTTTTCAGTAATTATTACATAAGTGTATTTCTGTGCTAACACCCACTTAGTATCCAAATACATTGCAGACCTTTCCACTACCAAAAAAGATGTTTTCCTGTGGATACAGCTACAGTTTTTAACAGAAATTTCTCATAAAATCCAGTGAGATTTTTCTGTTTTGTATGGTAACAGAAGAAACCTTGTTTTCTGGCGCTTAGCTAGTTTTCCAGCTATCTAGTGATGTTAGTAAAAGTTATGGCCACAGGAGAACACGTAGTACACATTACTTCAACTTGCTGCTCATTTGAGACACAGGTGTTTTGTTTTTTCTAAATTTAGGGTTACATTACTTTTCTTTATATGTCTAGTCGTACTATTTCATCAAATGTATTACACAGTAGAGACTTGATGGCTCTCTGCGTATATATTTTTCTTTGCTTGGTGGAAGAAAAACCTTTCAATTGATATCTTCTGTTTTATAAAGTTAGCTGATTCATGTTTTACTTAAACTTGAACTTTCTGTGAGTTTTTGTTGCACATGAATATTTTGTTATATTTATTCCTTTCTATACCAGGACTCTGTAAAAGACTTACTTAAATCAGACTGTACTATAAAAGACTTGCTCAATAATCTGTGTGCTTTCTCTCTCTCTCTCTCCCAGTTATTCAGTTACAGTGCAAGAGTCATATCCACATCCTTTTGATCAAATTTACTACACCAGTTGTACTGACATCCTAAACTGGTTTAAGTGCACACGACACAGGTGATGTATAATTGTTAATATTGTCAGACTGCTGATATTGTAGATTTGTGAAGATTTTGTGTCTGTCAAAATCAAGCATGATAAGTAGGTTATTGTAGCTATAGTGACTTCTGTGTCTAACTGCTATGGTCTGTGTCAACTGGAAAATGCTTGTCCAAGCAATGCCACATATGTTTTATTAGTAGGTCAGGGTGTATCATCCCATGAAGTGCTAACAGAAAATGAACAGGTTGGGAAAAAGCATGCAATGTACAAAATTGTATTCCTCAGACTCTGTGAGGTGTATTTCTTCAGAAATGTCGTGACAGACCCCTTGCTACTTGCAACCTTATGTTCTGGGGAAAGTGTATGCTACTTGAAAGGAAAAAAAAAAAGATTTGTTAAATGAAACTCCTTGTGCTTGCAGAAAATAAGCAAGGGGTGAATGATTAAAAACTGGTGATGGCTGTGAGAAGCATTTTCCTCAGAGGCATATGCCCATAAGTATGAACCCCAGGGAAAGTCTCCCCAGGGCACAGCAGCTGGAGGAGATGGGTCAGTACGGATAGTACATAAAAAGCAGATTCTGAGTTCAAAAAGAGATTACACTTTGTTTACCTAAAACACCATTTATATACGAGCTGTTCTTTGCTGGCAGTCCAGACTGTCTTGGGTGTTGTGGGGATGTGTTTACTGCTTGGTGGAGTCTGTGGTCAGCTGCCAGGAGAGCCGGGGGAACAGTTTTACAGACATGGTGGGGAGTAGAGAGGAGAGAGAGTGGTGGGAGAGCCCGGTTCTGATAAATATTACTTGCTTGTGTCAGAAGGAAGCTGTATTTTCTGCAGTTCTTGATGGGTTTATGTGCTGATTTCTCCACTGCCCTGCAGGGCTGCGTTCGACAGAGCGGCAGGAGGTCTGAGCTCTCCCTTGATGTTTCCTGCCTCTTGCCTTGACCAGAACTTCTCTTTTCATGACATCTCTGCCCCTAGAAGACTGACTCACCCTTGGGAGGGTGATCACTGATAGCTGTAATGACCCAGCAAACTGATTTGTATTGCCAGGATTTAGCCTCCATAGGGGATGCTAATGGCAAAGGCAGCGATGCTCTGGTTTGCATATTAGTTAAGTAGCCAAAATCCTTAACTTTTTTTCCTGCTGCCCAGCCACCCACGGGCATAAGGCTTGTTGGGGAACCACTAGGACTCTTGAAGTCAGCAACAGATAAATCAAGGTCTCTTTGAGCTTTTTTTCTCTCCTCCTACTGATACTTGATTTTTTAAAATATGTAAGAATATATATTGTTTTGTTTCTGACCATGAATTGTATGTTACAACCATTCATTCTTTTCTTTAGGATCAGTTACCGTACTGCCTACAGACATGGTGAAAAAACAATGTACAGGCGTAAATCCCAGTGCTGCCCTGGATTTTATGAAAGCAGGGAGATGTGTGTCCGTAAGTTTACCTTCTTTTTGCTTTGAAGTTCCGTATGTTTGTCACAATGCTGGTTTAGACTCCCCTTTGATGGGCAACTTGTGGAAGCTGAGTTAAGGAGGCTCAGTTATTCATCAGTGGTGCACATGCAGCTCTCGTTGAAGTCAGTTGGTGTGCATATGCAAATGACAGGATAATTGGATCTCAGATGTCTAAGTAACCAACCTTGATGTGATTCTAACTAATGATCATATGGAAAATGCACAGCACAAGTGCCAGTGCATTTCCCAACACAGTAAATAAATTCAAGGTTCAAAACCAGAAGGGAAATAGAAGATTTTTCTCCTTAGCATGGGCCCCAGTTGATCCCCATGCTTAGCCTCTCTTGCAGATACCAAGATCTGTAACAACTGTTTGAAGATGGCCACACCGCCTTTTCTTGTGGCATGTGCCCCTGCCTCCACATCTTCCTAAGTCTAAAGAGGGAAAAGCTGTGTCTGGAGCCTTGTGGTGGCCTTGGCTCAGCTCTCTCTCTCTCTTGTTCGGCCTTGTGCAGACCTAGGAAGGTCTGATTCTTAAAATGGTGTTCATTCAAGAGCATAGTAGAAAGGCAGAATAAAAATAGAGGAGGTGTTAATCCAGAGCCCTGGAAGCATGTGGTTAGGAGTTTAACACAGGGTTGTTCAAAGTCATATAGCTGGTTGGGTAGCTAGATGCTCCTGTCGGCAGGACTGACAGCAGGGAACTTGTGATAGGTAAGCGTATCCTTGCGACTGTGAAGGATGGCGTATCCTTGGAGATGGGCAAATGTGTAGGGCTAAAAATGAAACTAATTCAATAGTTTTTCAAATTATTTGTCCCTGTGAAGGCACTTGGGCAGCACGGGCTACAACAGTAAGTTTTCCAGAAATCAGGGAACTGAATCTCTTCATCTTTTCATCTCCTTGAAAAACTGGACTCATCAGGGGCACTCTTTTGTCTGTAACATCATTTGTGATGCTGACCTGTGCGTATACTTTTATTAAATTTAGGAAACAGAAAGGGCATACATTATAGTGGAAAACAGCTATATCCATTCCTTGTTTTTTCTTCAGCTCCTCTAATAATGAGACTTAAAAAACCTTCAGAACCTTAATGAAGAATGTCAGAAGGACTGAGGCAGTATAGCTGAATTTTTTCTGGAAATGTGGGGCCCTGTAAGAGCAGACTGGTGAGGCCTGAAGCCTCTGGCCTGCTGGGACTGCTCTTGGGCTTGCTGCCCAGTTTCTGAACAGGCAACCGATTGGCAAGCCTTCCCAAGAGAAAAAAATGAAAAGCCCAGCTTACTGGGAAGGCCACAGTGTGTGAGCTGTTTTGGCAGCTGCTTTGGCTCCTCTTGCGTGAAGCTCTGCGTCATGTCCCTGAGTCAAACCCTGAGTCTGCTGGTCTGCATGGGGAGCCTGCTGGCACGCTCCCACCGCCCTGGAGCAGGACCTGGACCTAGGCACGTGCAAAAAGCTGGCTCATGTAACAGCATGTTTTCAGCCTAACCCTGCTTTACCTGGCGTTTTTTCCTCAGCTGAGAATGAGAAAAATGGAGATACATTCATTGTTTTATTGTCTGCCTGACAGCTGTAATGGCAGTGGTGAAACATAGCACTCAAGGTATGGAGAAGCTTGTCCAGGAAAAAGTTCTGTGAAATAATGCGTAAGAGACTTGTCACTGCCACTGGATTTCGCAACCCAGTTTAGGAATTGGCAGTGCGGTGGATAAGTCTTTGGTCTTTACCGATAAACAAGAGTCTGAAGATCAATATCAGTATGTACATTAAATTTAATTATTTAATAAAAATGCAAAGTAGTTTCTTAATTTGTGCCTTTCTGTTTGTTGTGAGGTGCAGGCTGGAAGTGACTGACAGGATTTATTTGTATCCCTGGAAGATCATGACCTGCGAATGTCATAACACATCATACTATCCTCATATGTATTTTTGTTTTACGGAACTTCCTGGAATTTGAAAATGCAGCAGTAAGATCTTTGATTTAAAGTGATTTCCGCACAGGGAAAAGCAAGGTCAAAATGATATTTTTAAAAATCAACTTTTTAAAAAAATGCATCTATCTGAGATCAGGTTGGCAATTTTTTTAACCTTTTTGTTTTTAACATGTATGTATTAGACTTATATGAACCAATTTCTAACTACATTTGGTTATTATACAGCATATATGAATGCTGTATGTGAATTATACAGCACATATGAATGCTGTATAATTAAACGAACTAAAGATTAATTTTTTTTATTAAGTAGTGTACTTTTTGAAGAATATAACAGTTTGACTGATCACGAGAAGTGTGATGATGAGTCTCTTATGTGACTACAGCTTTTACATAGCTATAGTATATGTAGTAAATTCATTCTATATTAACATAGTAATACTCAAAACCTAGTAAATTCAGATCACATTGGATGTAGTAATTTTTTGCTGTTATTACATAAAAAGATGCCAGATGCTGATATTCAGGGCATATCTGCTCTGACTTTCGAAGAAATTTTGGAATGCCTCAGACTTCAAATTATGTAAAAATAACGATCCTTCAGTGGAACTAACTTTGCATTTATTTGCTTCTGTAATGGTTGACCTTGGAAGGCACTGAGATACCTTCAGTCCTCTTGATCTTCAACTAGAGCTGAGGATTCAGGGCAAAGGAGGAGCTCAGTTGTTAATAGAAGGTGGCAAACATTTCATGCTTTCCATTGTTTCAACCAGCTTTCTTCGTAGAGAACTTGTATATACTAGAGTAGATGATGCCTGCATACACTGTGATAATAATAGTTGTCCAGTTTAACTTGGAAAGCAAGTGTGATGCTGTCAGTTGAGAACAAATGGTAAGAGATAGTGATGTGAGGAGGACTCTTCTCCTATGTCATCATAGGAGATATATCACTGGCAGAAAGCCAACACAAAATCTGCAAGAAAATGGCGACCACATTGAAGAACACACATGCACCTCCCCCCTTTATTATATGCAAAGATAGAAGAGAATCAAAGCCATTTGAAGTGTTGCGGATATCTTCTTTTATTCTATTCTTGCTCCACAATGTGCACAGCATTTCCGTTAGGGTAATTTTATTTTCCATGCAGTGTGTATTATTTTTTACTTAGTGGAGGATGTAGGATGCTTCTAAAAGGCTAAAATATTTGTGGTACTGTTGATGTTTATTTGTTTGTTTGTTCCTTTATTTGACTTTGCAATTTAGAAAGCTCAATTAGAAAATTCTACTGGTAGATGATTTTTATATGACTCAACACTTCAACGCATACAGTGATGAATTGAAATCTTGTGACTTCCTTTTTAAAATAATAATTAGGAATCTACAGCGTGAATACTCACCAGTCCCTGTTCCCTTAGAGGTAGTACTTACCAGTGGTAATGCCACTTCACTGCCTATAATGGGAAGAGAATTATTTATCACTGCATAAAGAATTGCAAGAATGTGCCAGCCTCGTGTTGCTGAAGTCTGTAAATTTTGTATTCGCAAAGGAAGAGAATGACCAATAGCCAGCGAAAAGCACTGGCTGAAATTTAAGTGGGGGTTTTATGAGTCTTTTGGAGTCCAGTCTGAACAGATTAATTTGAGTTCATTTTAGGATATAAGATTTCTGTGGAATTGTGACTCTAAGTTCCATACTTCTTCCTGAAAACTTTCAATAGGTGAAACTTGTGTTTTCACTTTTTCATGAAAATTCCTTTTGTGTTTTGTCTTTGGATTCAGTGTATATGTGTATATAGATATACATATGTGTGGAATATATATATATGGAAAATATATAACCAGGCCTTTTTTATCACACATATGGAAATTTTTGTTTTGTTTATTCTTCTCTAAATTAAAAATAACTGTTGTACTCTAAATTGTTCAAACTCTGATACAGAATTTTAGCATCCTCTTTGTTTGACTAATGCCATTGATAAGAAGACAGTCACACTAGAAGTAGATATCTGTTAAGAGTTTTATGGAAAAGACCACCCCACTACAGCCACCCATAAGCTTAAAAAAAAAGTCTGTTAAGCAACTCAGATACCTGTCTTTCAATGTTTCTGAGTTTGGTGAAATGATTCTGCATTTTCATCACTATAAGTAAGTGACAAAGTGGCATCAGAAGTCAGTCTCCAACTGCAGCCCTTAGAAGCTTTTCAGGGAACTTCTTGGGGAAGTTTTACATGATGTTAATAAATATTATAATAGACACTTTTTTTTGGTGTAACTTTTGGCCAGTATAGATATATTCTCTTGCAGATTGTGTTTATTATGGCAAGCAGCATTCAGTCATGCTGAATAGAAAAATTATCCTGTGTTTTATTAGTTGTGCCATTTGGATTTGTCTTCAAATGGGTGGGTAAAAAAAATTATATCTTAATTTTAATTCCAACATTATGTGGGGTCAGTACTTGGACTTTTATAAGCATACATATATCTGTTAGTACTTCCAGTATTATCCTGGTGTGTACTCTCCTCATATAAGTCGTGTTTATAAAGGATATGAATAATGTGCAAATTTCTGACTTCTGACTTCCCTATTGCCAGTATCTCTGCAGAAGAATAGGCTAACTGGAGCTCAGGTGATTATTTATTTTTGCTCTTAAAAATTACAGTGCATGTTATTAATGTTTAGATCTGATGGACTTCCTGAAGTGATCTGAATGCAGTTTATATGCAGATACAAAGATAGAATCTTTCTGTTAATTTCTATAAAGGAACTTACTCCTGGCCTTAGAAAGCCCATACCAGGTTGAGAGATTGACTTAGTCTCTTATTTATTCCAAATAATTTACTGTCACTTATCTCCTAATATCAGTGGCAATCCCTAGAAGATTTGGCATATGGATGCTAGGCTAAGCTACAGACTGAGAAGTTTTTACAAAAAGTGCAGTCTTCTGTGGGTTTGTTTTTTGTTGTTGTTGTTGTTTTTACTTTTACAAAGTCCATTCAATTTTTAGCATGTTTCTGAAATTAAAGAATTCAAAGACTAAGACCTTTTCTGGTGGATTTCTTGTAGATTGACACACATGCAGAAGGGAGAATGATCCTAGTAGCATTTTGGTAGCTTGGGCATTGACTTCATATACAGTTTCTGACAGTGTAGCATTTCTAAGAACATCAAAGGAGAAATGTGCCTGTTGAATTTCCGCTAGACCTGAAATATAAAATAAATCATCTATCTTAATGCATAGCTGGATCACTCCCTTTAATAGGAACTGGTCATCAAGCATAGGAAAAAAGCATTAATCAAAGAATATGTTCAGGTAACCAAATCAGGATAGAGTGGTATTAGTAGAAATGCTAAACATGAAGCACAGTCAGGCATGTAGTATGACTTCTTTTGTCGGAAGTCATTTATCTGAAAGAAATAATATGGAGATCTACTTAGAATCCAAAAGCAGGCCCAGTTCAGACATTGCTCTAGTCTTCCTAATACAAATTCTCTGTAAAGTTGATAGGAATTTTGTTTAATAGATTTCAGGTATGAAATCTCATTAAATCAAGTATGATTTCACGTATTTGCTCATTTGATGATGTGATTAATTTGTTTAAAAGGTGGAAGTCTAATTGTGGAACCATAGTTCATTCTCCTGGTCATTTACTAATGTGCATAATTACAGCCAAAATATGTCAATCTTTGCTTATGTTAATTTATTTATGTCTGGCTTTTCAAAATGAAAAAGCAACAGATCCTAAAATGCACGCATAAACTTTCATTGAAGATAAAAATATCTTTTTTCAACTTTTGTTACTGGAAATTCTTCTGTATCTTCTTTTAACATCAGATAATGCAATGCACAGCTGTCTAAATGTCGTGTATGGCAACTTATAATGAAATAACTTCATGTCACTTTCTTAATCACCGTGGGCAGATTCATAAAATGCCATTCAGAAGTTTCAAGTCTTACAATGTTCCACTCTTCATATATACTCTAGTTCAGAAGTGGAATTCATATGAGGCACAGGAGTTACTCCACTCAGCTGTAATACTTTAAGTAGGTATAGCAATGGAGGAGCAATCTGCATTTGCACTGCAGGGGTTATGCCGGAGCCCATCAGCCTACAGGTAGGCATTTGAGTTGCAATCTTCTCTTGAGCTGGAGCACCGTCTCCCTCTCTTCATTGATATCAGTGCAAGACACATGATCAGTGTTGGAAAGTGGTAGCTTGACCTAAAATTGTATTATACGTTCTATGCCTCTAGCATGACTGGCTTAATCCCCCTGGTATGAAGCTGTGGTGCTGAGGCATGTCTATGAGCATGTTGGCCAAGCCCTTGCCTCACATCGCTTTCAGCTTGCTTGTAATAGTGGGTATCGATGGCCTGGGTGGATTACAGATGTCTTTTCACATTGATTCACTTTGCTGAGCTTCCTCAGCAGGGCATGTTCATTTAACTGGTTACAGGAGTACCAGTGCCTGCAACTGAGTTGGGAATGAAGCTCAAGCAGCCTGGTGGGCTTGCATCCAGGGGACGGGGCAGGTCCTCCAGTGGTGTGGAAAGGGCTGCTGCAAGGAACTGCACATGCAGCAGCAGATAATCTTATAGATACTTGAAGCCAGCTGATACTCTGTAGTAGAAAGCAAATCTACCTTTTGTTTTTTAAGAAAATGAAAGAATATGATCTGCTGAAATAGACCTGTAAGTTGGACAAGGCAAGATTTTAGAGAAGATTTTGAAGGAAACAGTAAGACACAGAAGAAAAAGGGAAATAAGGTGTAAAAGGAAATAGGCAAGAGTAAGCTCAGATGGCTTTTCATATGATAATTGATTTTTCCCTTAAAAAAGAAGAAGATATGACTTGTGCAATTTACTGCTGCCACTGAATTTTTGGTGCTTCTTTACACTGCTCAGTATCAAAAAGACTTAATGTTAAGTTTTTCACCTGCTTTTGCACATAGGTATTTTCTTATATCATGTCCACCAATTCCATAGAAAACCAAGAGAAAACAGTTTCTCGGTCCCTGATGTCATTCATGTCTTTTCAGCTTGTTCCAGTGCTTTTCATGTTGTCCTCACCTTACACTTTTTTGTAGGTCATGTAGTAAATTTTGGTTCTCTTATCCCCATGATCAGTGCAAAATTTTTTTACAGATGCTGTCTCTTAGGGATGTTAACTAGGGTTCAGTTGCCAGGAGTCAGTTAGCCCATCAGGTGTCTAGAGAATAATTTCTTTTGGTTACAAAATGGGTTTTTATGTATATCCAGAGTGTAGAAAGAAATCATTCTTTGATCAGATATATTTTGGGGCATTAAGAAACTTTAAAAAAAAAAAAGGAAATACTGGATATCTTTAATTCTTTTGTATATCTTGAACATTTTTTGAAACATCCTTGGCTTTAGTTTATTTTGTTCAAACTAAAAAATTACATGTATCCCTTCTTTGAGAAAGAAATTTGTGTATTTGTATGCCATATATATATATATATAATTTTAACTGATCTTCATTGAATTTATTTGGAAGCAACAATATTTCTGTTACACGACTTCCTTCAGTGGTCCTTATCTCATATTTCTTTTTCATTAGAGTCAGCAGAGTTCTGGCTGTCAAACGCCCCGACATTGTTACCTATAGATAACTTCTATAGAGACTCAGTAGTGGTAGCCCATTTTGAAGACTTGTGTTTGATTTATGTTCTACTACTGGAAAACTGAAACACCACTTCAGTGGCTGAAGAGAAGCTGCTGTTGATTTATGCTATTGTGGCTAAGAAAAGAATACAGCTCTAATTTGCGAGATGACTGCATTGTAAACACTCCGACCCGAAGTTTCTTCTGTTGTACATTTGTTCTAAGACAAGTCTATTTTATTATTGGAAGTAATTGATTATTATTTGCACAGCACCATAGCGTGTGCTGTTACATAGGGGTTGTGGGAAGGACCTATGTGCTCAGCATGTTGTGAGGGCAGTGCAAGGGGATGTTCAAAGAGCTTCTTCTGTACCTCTCGCTGCATGCAGTTTCTTACAACGTTTTCAGTTTTGTAATTTTTTGCATCTGTCTCACAGAGTATGCGATCGAATGTCACTTTATTGAATTTAGCCCTAGTGCTTGGGAATTTGGGTTGAGTTTGTTGGTATTCACTAAGTTATTCATACATGTGCACGTGCAGAGATGTGTATGTGTACAGCTACCATCTGTTGTCCTGTGGCATACTGGTAAGATTTTCCACACATTTGGTTTAGGGAGAGCTTCAGTGCCCAAGGTAGCACTTACTAGGCAAGGATCTTCAAAGGTACAAGTAATTCATATCTAGCTATAAGACTAATGGAAAATTGTCATGTATTATTTAAAGCCATTCTATTCATAATAAATAAATAGAGAACAATGAAATAGCTTTGAATTAGTATCTTGTATCATCTAAAATTTAAAAATTCATATTCTCCCTGTTGATTTCTAATGAAGATCATTTTAATGCACATCTGAAAAGTAGCTTATTAGAAATAAATTTGAGAATGAAAATTAAAGGCTGTTAAAATATGCAATTAATGGCTGTGATCCCAGATAACGAAAGATTTTAGCAATAGATATGATTGATCTCTGTGTGGCTTTCCCTTTTCTTGGCCACACAAAATATAAAGATGACCAATGTGCTTCATTGTGTTTAATTAGGAAAAAGACAGGACATTTTTCAAGTATTTTTTCCTAATTATTGTAGAGCATTTTAAATCCATTCAGAACTGAGATGATTCACCTGTAGTCCCATTAAACTTTTTGTAAACACCAACTTTGTCTTTTTCCCATCAGTCACCTTGTATTCATTGGTATACCTATCAGATTCCTGTCATGGTTTCTCTGGAAATGTTGGTACAAAGAAAATTCTCATCCTGTGCACATTTTTTAAGTTCTATTGTTGTTCAAACCAGAAGAAAAGTATTACAGTATATATATTTTGGAAAGTTAAGGGTATTTCGTGATGAATATGATGCCAGCAAACTGTTGCTGGTTGCAGATTCTTCCTCTTCAGTGTATTGTATTCTAAGTAAGTCAGTTACATTGATGTGCTTGGTATTGAAGCCATTTCAAGTTTTTCTTAAAAATTTCAAATAAAAGCTCTATTTCAAAGTAAGCCCTAACTGTAGAAACACATGCTTGCAAATCATAAAATTAAAAAAAAGTAAAGAAAAATTTCAAGCAGCTCTGCTTAGCACTTAGAATAAAGGTTGCAGTGAACCATAGGGTTTACTTCTCATGCCTTACCTTAATCATCACTGTTTTGTTGTGCTTCATTTGAACTGTGCAACTATTCAGAAAAATCATTATTAAAATAATGTGTTGCAAATCATATTTTATCCATGCTGTTGCAAGATAACTCCCTTTTTTATGTGTGCAGAAGTTCCCCCTTTTTCTTGGTGTGAGAGTTTGCTTCAGAGAATCACAGAATGGTTGAGGTTCGAAGGGACCTGTGGAAGTCATTTTGTCCAACTTCCCTGCTCAGGCAGGGCCACCTAGAGCCTTTTCCCCAGGACCATGTTCAGATGGGTTTCCAATCTATATCATACTATGACTCTTTTTTCATTAAATGTGGATAATTTTCTCTTTGTTAAATGCAAAAGTATTTGAGTAGCACCAACGTGGTTTTAGTTGGAGCCTTCAAACTTAGGAGAAATAGAAGAGAGTGAAGTAAGAAAGTTTATTTGAAGAGATGCCATCAAACTTTAACACATTAATGTTTATTTTGCTTTTAAAAGATATTTGAGACATGGAAGATCTGGATTAGGAATAAGTTTAGAATATTTTTCCTAGTGCTAAGAGTTCTTCTTTAATTCTTTTTTTATTTCCTTCTCTGACAGCTCATTGTGCTGATAAATGTGTCCACGGTCGTTGTATTGCTCCGAACACCTGTCAGTGTGAGCCTGGCTGGGGAGGACCCAACTGCTCCAGTGGTGAGTTTTCACCTGCTTCTGCCTGTCTCATGCTCTTTCTGTGGTCTTGTCCTCTCTTTTGGGCAGATTATTATCGATTCTGTGCTTGGACTCCTGCCTTCTGGTCAGGGGACTGTTCTGAGTTATCAGGTTACTCTGTGTGACCTGATTTTTCTTCATTTACTTGCAATGTTGTCCTTTAGCAGGGCTAAATGTCGTGAGCTATTTTGTGCTCAGAAACATGCAGATGATACAGAACTTGGTATCTGTATAATAGATAAAATTCTATTTTAACCATAAGAAAATATTTAATTTTTTTTTTCCTAATTTGTAAAGCATGATGGTGCCAGGTAATGTTTAAAAGCTATGAGCAAGCCTTCCTTACACCCCTATCCTCCTTTTTCACTCTGCCACTAACTTGTCCTTTTTTCCCCTTACTGTGTTCCCCTCTTCCATTTTTAGTTGCTTCCTGTCTGCTCACTCTCCTTCCATTTTACTCTCACTTACTAGTCATACTTCCCCAACTTCCTTCTCCTTCCCTTCTGCCATGAGAGTGTGTGCAGGAGATGAGGGGAGCAAGAGCAGAGTATCGAGGACTCATACAGCAGGAGACAGGGGCAGGCTGGCACCTTTTCTGCTTGGCGTGTGGGTGCAGTCACATGCAACCCAGTGAGCAGGTGGTCACGCTTAATAAAGAAATTACAGAGATCGAGGCCATCACACGCCTGATGAAAGAACATAGCAAAATGTCAAAAACACAGAGTGAAGAAATAAAATAGTATCAGTTCGTGACCTTTTTATTCACTGCTGTTTTCTAGACTCTGAGTGTAAAACCAAGCACTGTAGGCTGCAATAAGGCAGTAAGGTCTGGACAGATGGCAGAAACCCCTCAGTGGCAGGGCTGATGTGTTTGTGTGCTATCCCTTCCTCTGTCAAAGGTAATTGTTTGTGCAGAACATGAATTGTTATTTTTTCTTCTCTTTGCCTGAAATAGAGCTTCTCAGCGTAATTCTTGATTTTTTTTTTTTTTTTGTTATAATTTGCTATTTATTCCATCTTTCTGTTCCCCTTTTTAAGGTCTTTGGAAATGTAATGTTTGGGCTAACATTACAACCATATACTTTGTTACATTCAAGTTCAAAGTGGGTCACTGCTAGTGGCTGTTCACTTGAAATGAACATATTTCAGTCAACAACAACTATTTATAATTTAAATTTCACAGACCATATAAAGTTCTAATTCATAAATCAGAGCTTGATGTCTTGCAAAGGTATTATGCTGCTAGTTTACTTAGTATGGGATTCCTATAAAAATAACAACTGTGAAAAACCTAGGTCATCAGCAGGACAAAAATAATATGGTATTTTCACCCTCATTCCTTAACAGAGCTAGGGAAATGTTCTTTTTTTGCAAACAAGGTGCTGTAATGAGTCTTCATCTGGAACTGATCTGTTGTTTAGGCAGAGTATTTTGTAAAATTTGAGAGAGAGAGTGAACAAAACCAATTAATAATAAATTACATGAGGAAGAACTTAACCATTTAAAAATTATTACATTTGTTGTATAGTCTTTGTATATACTTAGGTGTGATTTTTTTCATAAACAGCTCTAAAGAAACACCAAGTTTTTCATAAGGCATAAAACTGAGTTAGCCATGCAATGTTACTGTAATACTGATCTTAATCTAGTGTGCTGAATTGTCAAAAGAAGTTGTCAAAAAATGTGATCCTTCTTTCTGAAAGCCTTATGTATCAAGCTCTTCTGTAACTAATCAAAGGTGCAGAAGAAACATGTATCACTAGACACTTAGAATGGGGAGATACTGTTATTTATTGAGATTTCCAAGTTCAAAACTTGCTGAAAGGGCACTTCAGATGAGAAAGGAGCCTCTAAATCTGTCTTTGGAAATAATCCTTCCTCTCACAGGATTTTCTAGATTCCATTTCCCTTACCTGTCTGGTATAATTCATTTTGAATACATGTGCAGCTCTTTTCCTCTGCTTCTTCCTCAGTTGGTTGCCTTTGATTGCTTGTCACAGCAGCCTCAATAGTAAAAATACTTTCTGGTGTGCGTACACAACAGGCTAAAGCTGAAAGAGCCTTTGTTCATGTACCTTTGAACAGTGTGATCTCTGGAGAGATTGGTGATCTTCTAAAGGCTTCTGCGTGACATTAGAGCTAACTGGAACTGCTGAAATTTATTTCGGATTGCTAATGTAGTCCTAGGAGAAGAGGGGTAGGCTGAGGAAGAGGATATTTTTGTGCATATGCTACAGGGACATTTGTTTTGGAATTGATCTGTTTCTGTGTGGACAGACTTGAAAAGGTGTTGCTTTCACCAGATTGTCTTTCTGAGTTTCAGTGGTGCTGTTTGTTGCTAGCTGTGCATGATTTCGTTATCTGTGTGTCTGAGGGCTACAGCACAGATCAAATAGAATTGAAGAGCAGTGGATAGTGTTGGAGAGACAGTAAGTAGTTTTGGCTCTCTGGCACTGAGTTTTATTGTTGCTTGCCCTGCGTAGGAGATTTTCATATTTTGCCTTTCACTGTATTTTCTGCATGATCCCCAATGATTAGTTTTAGTAACAAAAGGTACAATGTGATAAAATAAAGAGGTGCTTTTTCTCAATAATAATAATGTTGATATGGCAAATTATTCATTCAAGAAGAATACAGGCAAATTGCCATACTATAATAATGTCTATCATATAAACATTTTAACTCTGTAACTGTTTAACTGAATAATGGAGAAGGAACAATGATTACATGGCAGGCCAGTATTTTTGAAAGACAGACACTCAGGCATTTAATAGTTACTGATGACCCAATAAAATACTGTGACAGAAAGGGAGAGATTATTCTCAAAGTGCAAGATATCAGGCATGGTTCCAGATTTAGTAATCTGTTCATCTTCATGAACAAAAATAATGTTCTACCTAAGCACTAAACTTTTTTAAAACTGCAGAACTAAACTTTTTCTTCCCAACTTTTTCAATCCTTTCTGTATTAGGATTGATTATTCTCCTTACAAAGGAATTTAATCTGTAAGTATCTGAGAACAGAGTTAGTCCTATTGCAGTATCTGTCCATCTGCCAACCCCCAGCTCAATTTTATCTGTAGTTTCTCAGTTGTATTTGCCCAATGCATTTAAAATAAATTTTCAAACTGTATGCCACTGCTTCTATGTGACAGTGGCTTTCTGGGTGGTATTTGCAGACAAGTGCTTCCTAAATGCTGTAATGTTGTCTCAAAAAATGACAGTGATTGCATGGGCTAAATTCGTGCATTATGCAGTAGAAGCTGAATCAGCAAGCTTCCTCCCCTATCTTTGCATACTGCTGTGTGTTATGGCCTAATGACCTTTCTGGGGACTAAACTTTGGAGGAGACTCCCATTTTCTTTTGTAGCAACCGTTACTTCCTTTTTGTGATGAGTCTTATCCAATTCCTAATAGCCTAGGTCAGTGGCTGCTTTCAGTTTAGGGAGAAGAGGGATAAAGATTTGACTGAACTACTGAGGCTGTCCTCTTTCAGTGCTCAGTTCTAGCCCAGCCTATAACTCTCCTCTACATCACATCCTCTGCCTTTCTGAAACCTTACATCCCACCTGAGAGAAAAATAGGATTGGATGTATTCTTCTGTGAGTAAAACCTGAGTGGTGGTCTCAGAATTTGGCTAATTAAATAAAATGTCTTTGGGGAACCTTTCCCATGTGAGACATATTTTTTTCTTCAGACATTTTCTTTTTAGTTAAAGGAAATATACTGTATTAGGCAGTGTTTGCTTGCAGTGAATTTCAATGGGAGTTGATGAAGGAGTTGATGATAACATACATATATCTGAAAAGAAATGCTACTTGGATTGAGAGATCACTCATTTGCAGAACACTTCTATTCTAGCAGGAGAGATGACAGTCATGCGAAACAAGTTATTCTAATAAAGATTTATTGACCTAACACAGTAGTCAGGTCAATGACAAATGACTGGACAGAAGTCGTGTTGAACCTATCCCTTGGAGCGAGAGAATCAGCACAACCAGTGTGCTGTCAGCACCCCTTTGAAGAAGTGTTTGTGAGCTTTAGGAGTATAAGTTAATCAGTTCTGGGCTGGGGACAAGGACAGAATTTAGAAAAAAGGACACAGTGGTAAAGATAGGTATGTTTGTAAATTAAAAATGTAAACAAATAGTTTTTATTGAAAAACAAACAAACCAACACAACCTCTCCCTCCCAAACTGGATTATTGTTTATATAAAATTTTTAACTGACATGTGTCAGATTGGATTGTTACATGGTATAAGAGCATTTTTGACTACAGGTTGTGTATAAAGCCAGTCTTCTGTAAAAGTTGCTACACGTAGTGATAGTTGGCTGTCTAGATGTGTAGAGATGATCAAACCAGGTTTTACATTTGTAGATTGTTTTCTGCCTGTTTTCCACTTACACTCTTGCAGCAGTATTTGCTGTAATACGTAATATATGGATCTCATTGTCAGTTTTGAATGTGTGTGCAAGGTGGATACACATGCAGCCTAACATGGACCCCCACTAAGCAATCAGGACATTCACTTTGTTTTTCTTCTCATGCCTAGTAGTCCACAAATAATTCCTTCAAAATCAATAGGACACTTTCTGAATAAGCTGGAGCAGAGGCAAAAGGCCAAAATCAATATTACACTGATTTGTCTGCAAAGGTTATAGCCTTCATGATCCCCCGGCTGGCCTGGGTATTAAAGCAAAAAGGGAATGACATGTTTTTGGTTTATGACAAGTATGTTAGGATTGTTTGTGGAAATGTGAATAGGCATTTTCTATTTTTATTGTATTTAAGTAATCTGAGATTTGTTTGGATTTTAATTTCTAAATTGATTCCATTGGTGATTAATAGAGTTTCACTGGGGCTATAGTCTGAGGGCATGAGGGTAGAACAAGTGGCCCTAAGGTGTAATTTGCCTCCAGGGTTTTATAAAGCATGAGAAAAGGAGTGGCTTTTTCCTTAATACATTAAGCTGAGCGTTTAAA